ACGCACCACAGCCTTGCCCTCCCCCCCCCCCCCCTATTTATGAAGGGGAGGCATCCAACCACCTTAGCTCTGCTCTGCTATATAGATATTATTAAGGCCAGGAAAGCGACCGTTCAATAACTGTGTCTGCCCTCCTGTGTACCACAGATCATCCTCCCCATGGTCCCCGCATTGAGCCTACTAATCGGTGCTAGGCTAAAAAAGCCCCATAGTTACACGGTGAAGGAAAGAGAATCAATGCCTGACTCCCAGAGAGCCGGCCTCTGAGCCCCCAAACACCTCTCCTGTGTGATCTGCTTCTTGACTGACAAGTCAAGAGAAGGAAATGGAGGAAGGTAGCAAGATACTTTCCTGCCTGCTCTTCTAGCCCACTGTCAGGCAGTTTCTGTAGCTGTCAGTGTCCTTCCTGGCCTTGCTGTGTGCTGCCTGTCTGGTCACCCTGGCCATTTTATCTGTGTGCAGAAGTGCCTGCGTGACCAAAAAAGAAAGTGTTTTCTCTGCATTCAGATCCCAGGAAAGTCCCTGAGTTGGTTCACTGCTGTACAACCTAAGAGGACAGGAAGGGGAGATGGGGGAGGGGCGGGAGTGTTTTCTGCTGCTTTAGCTCAAACATCACCGGAGACAGGCCTGCCCCAAGATACTTAGATGCAAACTTTGAGGGTGTCTGAAATCTGAACCCAGCTCCGGATCTGCATGTCACCTGGGCCCTCCGGGTGGTCCTTAGGATTTATGGGGCCCTATGCAGTGCTCTTAACCTGATGCCCCTGTGCCTGATGGCAGCTGGGGAGAGGGAATGATTTTTTAGAGATGTGATTTTATAATCATCAGGAACACACTAGTGAGACGTTTTAAAACAACGTTAAACTAAGGCCCCGGAGCTTAACCCAGCACATTCAGAAACTGACAGTATGTACCTGGGGTTGGCAATGCCTGTGAAACTGGCTGACTCTTTCACGGGTTCCGTGTTGCACTGATGGGTCTGGTGCACTTACTCACTTTTAAGTTAACTAGCTCCTCTCCAGAGGAAGCAGAGCCACAGATTGGGGATAGGAAGAGATGGGTGGATGGATGTTCAGGTGCTCTATACAGCTGCATATTCTGCGTATGGGTACGGTTGGCTCTGAGTGTCCATATTAGCCTGGACCAACCCTGGAAACCCATTTGCCCCCAGCAGGGTAAAAATAACTCCCAATGACATGGAAAGAACTGGCTCTGTGGTTTGCAGCACCCCTACCTCTGAGAGGTCTGAAATCTGGATGTGGCTTTGGACTGGGGCTTTGCAGCATGAGCCCATGTCTGCGCATTGCTTCAGAGCCTTCCTGGAGCTATTGTGTCTCAGTGATGCTCCCTTGCAATGTGCTGCGGAGCCAGGAGGATGAATGCGCTAGTGCTTATACAGTGGTGTAGAGATATAAGCTGAATCTATCCCCCACGTGATCAGTGATGCTGCACCAAGGATACAGGGGTCCAGCCGGGCCATGGAAGCTCCAAGTGTGATGAAGACAATGAGCATGCTCAGGAGAGAGAAAGTCGGGAACCTAAGCACCCTAGCAAAGGTTAATCCGATGTTTTGGCCTCCAAGTGGGTTTTCCTCACACTGTTGCCTTCCCACTCACTGGGAGGCCAATTGCAAGAGTCCCTGTGACTGCCACCGCCTGTCACTAACCAGACTCAGGCTGCAGAGTTTGCCAGAGATAAGAGCCCTCAGTCAACTTTGATCATCTTGGCTCGTCAATATCGCTGTTCAAAAATGGGCGAATCCTGGAAATGGCCCAAAGTATTATAAGTGGAGTAAAGATCACTGCCCTACCCCCACCCACCTCCTCACTTGCTTCCAGTGGCTTATAACATTGCCAAAAGCAGAGGCAAAAGTACGTGGGTGCGCCCTGGTGCGCGGCTCTGGCAAGAGCTGGCTGAGTTGTGGAAAAAGCTAGCGGGGAGCTATTTAAAGAGCTGGCAGGGACCTGGGCTGCAATAGGATAGTCCCTGTAAGACATTTTAAGTTACTTTCACCACTGGCCAAACGTTAACTAGGATAAAACATCCCTTATTTGCTCCCTCCCACGGCTTAATGTTTTTGGCCAGCTTTCCTCACAAATGGCTCTGACCTCACTCACACTGTTAGGAAAAATAGGGATTTTTGCCCAATTCCAGGCACATTTTCCACATCTTTTTTTAAGAAGTCTAGTCCCTGGAGTGGGAGGATGGGGACAGGTACTTGAAAACATGGTAGGGTATTAGCCCTGGAGTCACAGAGGTGCATTTCGCTGTCCCTGTGAAGCTCAGACCTGGATTTAGGTAAATTATAGCCACATTCCCTCGTGCATTTACATTATGATGGTCTTTATTGCACCATCACATGCTGTTCTCTTCTGTGGGCTCCCCACCTCTTTCAGTGCGTCAGCAGTCACAGCTATGACCAATGCATAATACTTCTTTGTGACCTCATGCAATGTGTGTACCTGGGTTCCTGCCTACCAGCCAAACCCTGCCCACAACAGAATAAATGAATCTCCTCATGGGCTTTTCTATGGCAGCCATCACCCCCGCCCCTGTGCCCTCCATCAGCATTAATGGGCTTATTCTCAGCCCCCCACCCTGATAGGTAAAAGGTACTGTTATGCCCATTTTGGGGGAAGGGAATGGAGGCATAAAGAGGGCAAGGGCCACATTCGTCCACTGCTTGTGAGTGCCTCAGTAATCCAGTGCCCCATGTGAGAAGCCTAGAATCTGATTTTTCAGAGATGTAGCATCTGCCACTCCCACTGACTCCCTCTGCAAGTGTGAGAGCCCAGCACAAGTCTGCAAGTGTGAGCGCCCAGCCCCAGTCTGCAAGTGTGAGAACCCAGCACCTGCCTGCGAGTGTGACCTCCCAGCATCCCTCTGCAAGTGTGACCTCCTAGCACCCCTCTGCAAGTGAGAGCGCCCAGCACCCCCTGCAAGTGTGGGTGCCCAGCACCTGTCTACAAGTGTGAGAGCCCAGCACCTGTCCGCAAGTGTGAGCGCATGTACAGAACTGACAATAGAAGTGAGTGTTGAGTGGGCCCAAGAATATGGGAGGTGGGGCAGTAGCAGGGCAGGATTGACCCCCCTGGCAGAATTATGGAGGTGACTCAGCAGAACTATGCGAAACCCAGCAAACCGGCATAGCCCAGTGGTGGGCCAGTGTCAGACTTGGAATCAGAATCCAGGAGCCCTGGTTCTTTTTCCTGGGGTCAGATCAGGCCATGTTGTCTCCCCGCGGCACAGTGAGAGTGGTGAGGAGGCCAGGAGTCAAAAACAAGGAGAAAAGAAATTTCTATTATTTTTGTGATTTTTACGTACATGTGATGCATAAGGATAGAACCATAGAAGATGAGGGATGGAAGAGACCTCGGGAGGCCAGCTAGTCTCACCCCCTGCTCAAAGCAACTAAATCAATGCCGGTCGGAGTTCCCTTTCACTGTAGCATTTCACATTTATTTAAATCTCTCGGTTGGGTTTCAACCCCTTGCCTACAAAAATTCAATTCCAGCTCTGCATCCTTCAGCCCTCTCCCATCTTTGCGCCCGCCCAAGCAAGTGGCTTTTACAGCATGGAAATGACATTCTATGAAGCAAAAATGATCAATTCGATTTGTTACCATGGCAACTGGCAGCCTGTGCACAGAGAGCAGCTAGACGGGGAAGGAGCAACAAGCAATCAGCATGCGTTCTGTCTGACACGTGCGGCCCCCTGTGCATCTTTCATTCTGTTTAGCCCCCAGGGCATTTGTGGAAGATGAGCAGCATGGCCATGTTCTTCACATTCTCCTGTCTCAGCGTCTTCGGGCCCTGCAGTTCCCGATTCTCGCACAACAGGCCGAAGGAGCCCGAGTCACCAAACTTCCTCTCTTGCATGATCCGCTTCTTGATCTGATCCACCGTGTTGCTGAGATCAGCTTCTAGGCTAGAGCGTTTCTGGCCATTGGTGATGTTCAGGGTCACTCTGGTGTCAGTTGCTGGGCTGGGATGCAGGTGTGTGACCCCTTGGAAGGGCCCATCACAAACTCTGGGAGAAGGAGATGCAAGCTGGACTGGCGAGCAGCCACTCTTCTGCTTGAGCTAACGTGCAAGGGAGAAAACTGAAAGAATCAGACATTGCCACCAGACAGGAACAGGTGCACTGTGTAATGTACGCCCAGGAAATTCACCTTTGACTCCATGTGATGCTCCCTAAGTGTACCCAGAGCTGTGAGGCACCTCTGTACCCCCTGCCCTTTGCATGAAAGAGGCCTTGCTCCCTCTGTATAGCTAGCGATACGCGTGCACCAACCTCAGAGTCCTCTAAGCTTCCCAGCAGCAACCAGCTCCTGATCCCCTGAGCACTCACAGACCCAACAATCTTGCTCTTCCCGAAGGAGCCAAACACACCAGCTTGTAACTTTCAGCTCAGCTCAGGGCCAGCCCTTTGCTGACCTCCACAGCACTGAGTCATCTCTAGGAAGGAATGTTTCTCATCAGAGATGCAAGTAACAGGGAGTTGGAATATTGGAAGCAAATACACAGAGAACACAATCAGAACCTGTTTTCTAGAGGCTAACCCTGTTGTTCTCTCTGCCCCCTTTCTCCCCCACACATTCTCTGGAGCATCTTTAACCAAGCCTGGCTGAGACCCCTTTCTCATGAAGCAAAGCCACTTCCTCCATGAAGAGAGAGAGAGGGTGTGCTCTGACTTTCAGAATTGCCTCCAAAGTACATTGTCTTTACTCATAGACAGGATACTCCCTCACCCCCTTTTGGCTTGTTTTTTTCTTCTTGATTTCACATCTCTTCATTAACTTTTGACTTTGTGGGACTATGGACATCCACTGTGGTATCTCACAATTTATATCCCAAGCGGTCTGGTGCATGAGACCTGCTTTTAACAGGCATGCCTAAGAACATACATTTCTGGTACAGCCCCATAGCCCTTTGCAAAGTCCCTGTCTGTATCCTTAGCAATATATCTGTTAGTATCTAAGGCTGTGTCCAGACTCCATGCCTCCGTCGACGGAGGCATGTAGATTAGCCAGCTCGGAAGAGGGAAATGAAGCCGCGATTAAAATAATCGCGGCTTCATTTAAATTTAAATGGCTGCCCCGATCTGCCGATCAGCTGTTTGTCGGCAGATCGGGAGAGTCTGGACGCGATGCCCCGACAAAGAA